TATTTCTATTTGAAAAGAGACCCAAAGGCAAGCTCCTTGGACAGGAGGGTTATTGGAGACCCCGCTCTCTGCCTCCTGGACTTAAAAGGAGGGTTTCCCTTCTCTGTTGACACTCAGCACCTCTCTTCCAGAACCAAGCAGCCCGCGTCCGCGTGGGGAAAGGGGACAAGCCGGTGACTTACGAAGAAGTCCACCCTCCGCACTATATTGCGCACCGGAAGGGATGGCTTTCCCAGAACACCAGTGAGTGGGTCGGAGGGACAGAAGGGCCTGCCATAACTACGTTTTGAAAGAGGCCATGTGCCCGGGAGGCCCTTTGTGGCAAAAGTGGTGGCGGGAAAGACTGGTTTAGTGGGAGGATCCCTTGTCCTTCTGTTTACCTTTCAGAGTCTGATGTAGGAACCTCTGGGATTGTGGGCACTGCAGCTTGGGCTTCTGGTGGAACTGGAGGTCTCTTTCACACCAACTAATCCAACGCACCAGAAGGCCAACAGAACTGGTCTTTCCTCTTGCCCTTCTTATCTTTCTTTCCCCTTCCTTCCTTCCTTCTTTATTTACTAGCAGTCCCCTGCCACACTTTGCGGTTTCCCAGTGTGTATGTATGTGTATATGTGTATTTATTTATTTATTTATTTATTTTATTTGGTGCATTTATTGACCGCCGCTCTCAGCCCTAGGGCGACTCGCGGCGGTGTACAGCATATAAAAACAGTTTACAAAAAAGCAGAAACAAGAAATCCACACAACAATAATACACAATACTATAAGTTACACTAAATAATCCGCTCCGTCATATCATAGAATCATATCCAATATCGTAGTCCATATTCCGTTCCAGATGTCAATTACCAGTTGCCGTAATATTCAGTTAAATGCCTTCTCGAAAAGCCAGGTCTTTAGGCTCCTGCGGAAGGACAAAAGGGAGGGCGCCTGTCTGATGTCAACAGGGAGGTCGTTCCACAGCCGGGGGGCCACCACCGAGAAGGCCCTCTCTCTCGTCCCCGCCAGGCGTGCCTGTGAAGCAGGCGGGATCGAGAGAAGGGCCTCCCCAGACGATCTCAAGGTCCTCGTGGGCTCATAGGCCGAGACGCGGTCCGAAAGGTATTTTGGGCCGGAACCGTTTAGGGCTTTGTAGGATAACACCAGCACCTTAAATTGGGCCCGGTAGCAGATCGGCAGCCAGTGGAGTTGGAACAGCAAGGGCGTTGTGTGCTCCCTGCGTCCCGCTCCGGTTAGTAACATGGCTGCCGCACGCTGGACTAGCTGAAGCTTCCGGGCCGTCTTCAAGGGCAGCCCCACGTGGTTTTTATATGTGGTTTTGCGCATGCGTTGTAATGTATTTTTTGTTTTTTGGCTTTTGGAGTCTCTTCTGTTGTGTTTTTCTGTGTTTTTCTGAGTGATGGTCACTTGTTGGCCTGATAGGTGTATTGTGTCCAAATTTGGTGTCAATTCGTCCCAGTGGTTTTTGAGTTATGTTAATCCCACAAACAAACATTACATTTTATTTATATAGATTTTTAATTTCGTTTAACTCAGTTATACTTATTTATAACAATATATTATATTATTAGCATAGTACAATATCTGTATTATATATTACTATATTGTATTATACCATTATATTGTAATATTATTAGTAATATTGCATGTAATATAAATATATAATTATAATATTATAGTATTGTTATTAGTATTATATTGCATTACATTATAATACTGTAAATATAATATGTATATACAATATATTATGTTGTTGTTCATTCGTTCAGTCGATTCCAACTCTTCGTGAACTCATGGACCAGCCCACGCCAGAGCTCCCTGTCGGCCGTCACCACCCCCAGCTCCTTCAAGGTCAATCCAGTCACTTCAAGGATCCCATCCATCCATCTTGCCCTTGGTCGGCCCCTCTTCCTTTTTCCTCCCATTTTCCTCAGCATAATTGTCTTCTCTAAGCTTTCCTGTCTGTAATATATTACATTACATTACATTCTATTGTTAACATAGCACAGGAGACAAGGTGGAACTGTCTTCTGCCCCTCTCTCTCTTCACTCTGGCCCAGAGCGGCAGTTGGTGCTGGGGGGAGGTGTCCCCAGCAGATGACCTTCCTTTCTTCCCTGTAGGCCACCTTAATGGAGAGCTGGGGGCGGCAGAGAGGGCCGTGGAGGATGTCTTCATCCGCAAGTTCATCCACGGCACTTTCCATGGGTGCCTGGCCAACGAGATTGTGCTGAAGCGGCGTGCCAACACCTTGATCATCTGCGCCATCTTCCTGCAGAGACTGCCCCCATCCAAGTTCTACTTTCTGATTGGCTACACAGAAACACTGCTGTCCTTCCTCTACAAGTGTCCTGTCAAGATGGAAGTGCAGACAGTGCCCGAGAAGGTGGTCTACAAGTGCATCTAGTCCCTGTCATGGGAGCCTGGCTCTGGTCTGTCAGGTGGTCTCCAAAGCAGGGCTGAGGGCTTCTTGCTCCCTCCCCATGGGCCTGGCAGGACTGGAAATGGGGGCCCTTTTTGGTCTTGGTCATTTCCTGAGGAGGAGGATGCCCACAAGCAGAGACTCAGAGAACCTTGGTTGCTGCTGTGAAAGCCGTTGGGGTTTCAGGATGCTGCTCAAAACAAAAAAAATTAGCTGCTTTTCGCAGTTCCCTATTTGTGTGTGCCTCTTGTCTCCTTTCTCCTTTTTTGTACACCTTTATTTGAAAACTACTGATCACCATTTGACCTGATTCACCCTTAAGGATGGGCAAACACACCAAGCTGCTGCCTCCTCCTTTGCACCCCTGTTACAGCCTGAAAGTGGAATCTGCTGCACTTCAGGGGAGGAAAGAGGAGGGGAACCCTCAGGGCAGAGGCCACGTTGTGGGCCGCATTGCGATTCAGGGGGCAATGCTTGTGTACGGAAATGAAGCAAATTCAAGTGGGAGATCTGCTTTGTAGTTGCATTTTTCAGGAGTTGGAGTGAGGAGGAAGCAAGGTCTCCTGCCACATGGGTCTTTCCTGAGGGGGAAGAAAGAGGTACGGATATCATGGGCAGTTGCATGCTCTTTCACAGCCAGAAGGGCCACACTAGGGAATTCTGCAGCTCATCAAAACAAGAGGGAGCCCCCAGGGTCAAGGGCTTGGCTTTCTGTACTGTTCCTCTGCCCACTGCAGAAGTGGAGCCATGCTGCTTGTATTGTCAAAGGCTTTCATGGCTGGAATAACTGGGTTGTTGTAGGTTTTTTCAGGCTATATGGCCATGTTCTAGAGCAGGGGTCCTCAAACTTTTTAAACAGAGGGCCAGGTCACAGTCCCTCAAACTGTTGGACGGCCGGATTATAATTTGAAAAAAAGTGAATGAATATGTGCACTGCACATATTTTATTTGTAGTGTAAAAAACACTTAAAAACAATACAATAATTAAAATGAAGAACAAATTTAACAAATATAAACTTATTAGCATTTCAAGCGTTGGCCTGCTTTTGGCTGATGAGATAGGTGGGATTGTTGTTGTGTGCTTTAAATTCAGACTTAGGTTGACCCTGAGTGAGGACCGGCTAAATGACCTTGGAGGGCCGTATCCGGCCTCCGGGCCTTAGTTTGAGGACCTCACACCCTCTGAGGATGCTTGCCATAGATGCAGGCGAAACGTCAGGAGAGAATGCCTATAGAACATGGACATATAGCCCGCAAGAAACCTACAACAACCCTGTGCAGCTTGTGTTTTCAGCCCTTCCTGCTCCCGATTGCAGGCGGCCTGGAAAGTGGCCTCTGTTCCTGTTGCACCCACTGACTCCTGGCAGGCTCTTTGCCTGTGGGGTGGGGCTCGTGATGACCCACAAGCCGCCAGCTTGAAGCGGTGCTGGGCAGCCTCTCCTTGGCAGCTCGCTCTCCTGTGGCAGGAGGGACAGAGGCCACACAACCAGCGCCGGATGCTTTGTTTTTGCTGGCACAGCACCGTAGGCCCAACACTGAGCAGCTTCTGATTATTACAAGTTGCCCATAAGTGGATCTGTGTTTATTTCCTGTCCTTGAAGATGTGTCAGATGTTGACTTGGCTTTACTGAGTCGTTCTGACTGGCCCTCCGTCTCCTGCAAGCCCTGGAGCTGTTTGGGCAACTGGCAGCCCATTCCGGCACCAAGAGAAGGCTGGCTCCAGCCCTGGGCTGAGACATGGATGTTGCCATTGGGATGTAGAGGCTGTGACCCTTCAAGAGTTGCTGCACAGCAGCTCCTACAGTGCCTCCCCACTGACTCTACTGCCTGGGTTAATGTGGGGTACTTGGGGACCCAGCGGTGCCCAGGTTATTTGCCCAGGTTAATGTGTAACACTATTAGAAAAAAGCCAGTTTTTGCATTTCTATTGTCGAAGGCTTTCATGGCCGGGATCACTGGGTTGTTGTAGGTTTTTTGGGCTGTGTGGCCATTTTCCGTTTTGTTTTATATGAATGCTCCCATTAGAAATTACATGAGGATGTGGGTAAACCCAGATTCCCAGGGCAATCGCCCCAAAACCCAACCAGTATTAACAGTTGGCCATGTTGGGTCTGTGTATCAAATTTGGTCCAGATCCGTCGTTGGCTGGGTGCTATTTGGATATGGGTGAACTATAACTCCCAAATTCCCAAGCCAATCACCCCCAATCTCTGCCTGTATTCACAGTTGTCCGTGTTGGGTCTGGGCTCAAGTTTGGCTAAGATCTATCATTGGCTAGGTTCAGCATTTACTGGATAAGGGTGAACTACAACTCCCAGAATTAAAGGAGAATCATCTCCAAACCCTGACTGCATGCACAGTTGTCCATGTTGGGTCTATGTGCTAAATTTGATCCAGATCCGTCATTGGCTGGATTCAGTGCTATCTGGATAAGGGTGAACTATAACTCCCAGATTCCCAGGGCAATCGCTCCCAATCTCTGGTTGTATTCACAGTTGTCCATGTTGGGTCTGTGTGCTAAGTTTGGTCCAGATCTGTCAATGGCTGGGTTCAGTGCTTTCTGGATGCAGGTGAACTATAACTCCCAGGTTCCCAGGGCAACCACTCCCAATCTCTGCTTGTATTCACAGTTTTCCATGTTGGGTCTGTGTGCCAATGTGCCAAGTTTGGTCCAGATCTATCATTGGCTGGGTTCAGTGCTTTCTGGATGCAGGTGAACTATAATTCCCAAAATCAAAGTCTATTCCCACAAACTCCTGCTGTAGTATGTTAACTTGGTCATGGGGCTTCTCTGTGCCAATTTTGGAGCTGGTCCATTGTCAGTGGGGGTCAGTTTCTCTGTATACTGGTGAACGATAACTCCCATAAATCATGGTCCATGTCCCCCAAACTTCTCCAGTATATTCTGTATGTGTGTGGTTGTGAAGGAAAGACTGATCAATGCTCTGCTTTTGGGAGTGGGAATGGCAGCCTCCTATTTTGAAGTGGGGTGTGGGCATTGGTCTCTGTGGACTGACCACCAGGCTCCCCATTCCTCCCTAGCTCTCTTATCTGAAGACCTCTAAAAGCTGGAACAGTCTGTAAAGTAGGAAAGGGAGCCAAGCTACGACGCAACACAGCCTGAAGCTCTTCCAAAGTCCTGGTGTGTGTATGTGTGTGTGAAGCAGAGTGCGCACAGCTCTGATTGCGCCTGCCCTGGACCGGAATCGGAGCTGTGCACAAGACTCCTGGACTTTGGCCGGGTTAAGGGCACAAAGGCCGGGATGGGAACACAGAGTGCCAGGCCTGCCAGGACATTTCTACAATCAAAGAGCATTCTGAACTCCACCAACGATGGAATTGAACCAAACTTGGCACACAGAACTCCCATGACCAACAGAAAATACTGGAAGGGTTTGGTGGGCATTGACCTTGAGTTTTGGAGTAGTAGTTCACCTACATCCAGAGAGCACTGTGGACTCAACTAATGGTGGATGACCCGGGTGGGGGGGTTGTCACCAAAGACCATCAGAAAACACAGTATTTTCTGTTGATCATGGGGATTCTGTGTGGGAAGTTTGGCCCAATTCTATCATTGGTGGGGTTCAGAATGCTCTTTGATTGTAGGTGAACTATAAATCCCAGCAACTACAACTCCCAAATGTCAAGGTCTATTTTCCCCAAACTCCACCAGTGTTCACATTTGGGCATATTGAGTATTCTGCCAAGTTTGGTCCAGATCCATCATTGTTTGAGTCCACAGTGTTCTCTGGATGAAGGTGAACTACAACTCCAAAACTCAAGGTCAATGCCCACCAACCCTTCCAGTATGTTCTGTTGGTCATGGGAGTTCTGTGTGCCAAGTTTGGTTCAATTCCATCATTGGTGGAGTTCAGAATGCTCTTAGATTGTAGGTGAACTATAAATATCAGCAACTACAATTCCCAAATGAAAAGTTCTATTTTCCCCAAACTTCACCAGTGTCCACATTTGGGCATATTGAGTATTCATGCCAAGTTTGGTCTAGGGCTATCATTGTTGAAGTCCACAGTGCTCTCTAGATGTAGGTGAACTATAACTCCAAAACTCAAGGTCAATGCCCACCAGACCCTTCCAGTATTTTCTGTTGGTCATGGGCGTTCTGTTTGGTTCAATTCCATTGTTGGCGGAGTTAAGAATGCTCTTTGATTGTAGATGAACTATAAATCCCTGCAACTATAACTCACAAATGACAAAATCAATCCCACTCAACCCCACTAGTATTCAAATTTGGGTGTATTGGGTATTTGTGCCAAATTTCATCCAGTGAATGAAAGTCCATCCTGCATATCAGATATTTACATTATGATTCATAACAGTAGTAACATTACAATTATGAAGTAGCAACAAAAATAATTTATGGTTGGGGGTCACCGCAACTTGAGGTACTGTATTAAGGGGTTGCGGCATTAGGAAGGTTGAGAACCACTGTTCTAAGCCCTTCCTGTGGCTTGCCTGCACTTCGCTGAGACATTGCAAGACTAAGATGGCTCCAGAAGTCTCTGACGCGTGACCTGGGGCTCTTGACCTATGGCTTCAACTGGCCATAAGTGACTCTGGCTGAGCTTGCTGGGGGATTCATGGCCTTGCAGTACTGTTGGGAGCTTTGGGGATGGGTCCCTAGCAGGATGAAGCCCCTCGTTGGACTGTTTTCCTTCCTTTTGGGGTGGGCAGCAGCATCTGGAGAACGCTCGGTTCTGATGCAAAGGACTCTGCCGCCGGCTCAGTCGGGAACAGCAGCCTCATTAAGGCTGGGTTAATGAGACTGGTGGTTTGGTTTGTCGGGTTGCATCTGAATCAGTTCTGTGTTTCCTGCGTGGTCTTTTCTGCAGCTGCAAAAATAACCCCCTTTGAAGATTTTGCCATGGGATCTGTTCTGCAGGGCAGTTATTTTTAGCTTTGTAGAGCAAGGACCAATCTTGATAAAATAGTAAAGAGTAGAGACATCACACTGGCAACAAAGATCCGCCTAGTCAAAGCCATGGTATTCCTGTAGTAACCTACGGATGTGAGAGCTGGACCTTAGGGAAGGCTGAGCGAAGGAAGATCGATGCTTTTGAGCTGTGGTGTTGGAGGAAAGTTCTGAGAGTGCCTTGGACTGCGAGAAGAGCCAACCAGTCCATCCTCCAGGAAATAAAGCCCGACTGCTCATTGGAGGGAAGGATACTCGAGACAAAGTTGAAGTACTTTGGCCACATCATGAGGAGACAGCAAA